GTAAGATGAGGATTGTCTTCTATTTATATATTTTTAATTTATTTTTTTTAATTATCTTGTCTTTTAAAAGATATGAGATTTATAAGGTGAAAGTTGTTCTTTAATTATTTTATAGCCATTTTAAAGGTTATTAAAATTTATTTTTTCAATTGTCTCCTTTCTATCTATTTAGTGACTTTTATATTTTTCTAGTAAAACTTTAAACAATTTATTTCTATAATTTTCTTTTTTAAATTCATAACTCATGTACTTTTTATCTCTAGTCGATGTGGGATGTCTTTTATTTATATATTTTTAATTTATTTTTTTAATTATCTTATCTCTTAAGAGATATGAGATTTATAAGGTGAAAGTTGCTCTCTAATTATTTTATAGCACTATTGAACTTAGTAATAGTAAGTGATTTAATACCAATTTAGAGTAGTAAATTAGGAGTCTAACTCAATTCTATAAAATTAACTTGTAAGGTGATAGTTATTACTCACTTATATATTATTTAATTATTTCAACTCTAATCGATGTGAGACTTAAGTTTTTTTTAATAAATAATTATCGCTAATAGTAAACTTTAGTATAATATAAATATATTTTTAGTGACTATTATATATTAATTATTAATATTTTTATTATATAATTAAATAACAATAATTAAATTATTATCGTAAAATAATTATTGTTAATAACAAATTTTATTTAAATACGATAAAAAGAAAAATACAGTTCCAGCCTCCTGTAGTTAATTTGTAATAAAATATTCTGAGTTGTGATGATCATTTTCAGACGTAAATTAGTATGAGTGAAAATGGTTGGACATTTTAAAAAGGATATAATGCGATTAAAAATGGGTATTTTTAGTTTCAATTTTATTGGCGTAAAGGCACTTGTGTTGATATGCGGAAATAGAGGTGACAGACACATCTATGTTTGTTGAGTTATGCTACATTCTCTGAAAAATTATCCGAATCGTGTTTTGAATAATTAAAATAATAATACTTTAAAATAAATTTATTATAAAATAATTATTTAATTTAATATTTTATAATTTAAATTATTATTTTATTTATTTAGAAAGGATTTCAGCGTAAACGGTCGGAAACGAATAATTTTCCATGTTTGTTTAGTGATGATTGTGGGGCAGGTGCAAGACGAATGATTTTTGAGTATAATTATTATTGGGATAACAAAGGTACCAAATTAAAAAGGTAGTGCCACGCATAATGATGTGTCGTAAAGGAGAAACACCACCAGCGAAAAAGTGGATAACATATCATGCTTAAATTTATGCTCTAATTACCCAATTGACCAAAATAAATAATATATATATATATATATATTATTTTATATCAAATTTTAATAATTTAATTATTTAATTAAAAATTCTTAATACATTATTTTCCTATAAAAATTACATCTATTTTTTTTGTTAAAGACAATTTTATTTAAGTCAAATATGAAGATTATAGATGACAAAATTATTTTTAAATATCTTTATATGTATATAATACACTAATTTAAATATGTAATTATATTAAATAGTCGGGAGAAAATTTTGTTGTTCATAATAATTAATTTAAAATTAAGTAAAATTATCTTATATAATGGATATCTACGTATTCTATAACAAAAGTTCACGTGTCTTAATCTCGTCATTTATTTAAATAGTTTAAACTTACGATGTGTTATTATTTTATTGTATTTTATATATAAAAAAAAGTATCTTTGTATTAAATAAAATATTTAATGATTATGTATTATTAGTGTAAAAAAATTTCAGTATCAACTAATAAAGAGTTATAGTTGTTGTGACTTTTAAAATAATTATTTTAAAAGTCAATAAACTTGCTATAAATATAATAATGGTTTGCGATTGAATATTGATGTAAGTTTATTTTATATCGAAAGTATATATATTTTTTCTCTCTTAAAGAATATTCATTGAAAAATAAGTTGTCAGTCAAAATATAATCGTATTTAAATATTATAAGAAAAATATGAATAATAAAAAAATATCTAATTAGTTATTTGAAGTCTCAAACATGGAAGGAAAAAAAGACATAAATAATAAATAAATAAATATATATATATATATATAATTAAAAAAGATCAACTGAGTTCTTTATATTTAAAAATAATTAAATGTTTTAGCAGATTTTAGTTATTAATGAAAATTGATAATCCTTCCCACAAAAAACATAATCAGCCAAGTAAAATAATTCTGGTCTAGAAAAGTTGATTTCATCGTACTATAACTTACTTAAATAAGATTAAGACTGTCTTAAAAAAAAATTTGTTACCCAAAAAAGAAAGTGATAGAAGTTCTTGGTGTTGAATGAGTGTTAAAAAACAAAAACCGAAATTAAAAAATCGGAAATTCATCTAAAAACTCGAAGTTTGTAGAAAATTATAAATTAACGGTTCAATTTTTAAAATTTTTAAATCACACGATTCAGTTCTTAGATTAAAATTTAAAATTGCTTCAAACGAAATTAAATTATAATTATTTGTAAATAATATTTTTTTAGAATGTACAGTGCACGCATACAAAATTACATATAATTTAAAATGTGTTTTATAACATTCTAAGCTACTAAAAAATATTTATATCTCAAAATATATGTTATAATATTTAAAAGATATTTTATAAAATTATAAATTATTAAATTAAGTTTTAAAATAAAAAGATATCTCAAAATATTATAGTACTTACATACTTTTGATAATATTACATATTTTTATTAAACTTTTAAATAATAATTTTTTAAAATGGCAGAAATTAAATAAAATAAAAAATAATAATTTTGTTTAATTTAAATTTTATAATTCATTTAAATTGAAGCAACTAATTTTTAACGAAAAATGAAACTAAAGTGCAGTGCAAAGTCATAGTATTAAATAACCATAGAGGGTTCAATGATATTGAAGAAGAAAATGATAGAGTAAAAGGGTGGCATGGGCTTGATTGGCGGAACAGTATGATTGGATAAATCTTCTCTTTAACATCTCAGACAAGAGTGCACCATACCCATCAAACAACTTTGTCTTTTCATTTTCTCATAAAAATACATTATCATATATCACTACACAGTCACATTATTATTTACATATAATATAAATAATTGTTTGCTCTAAATTTATAAATATAATTTTCCATAATAATCAATATTCTTCCAAAAAGTCATCCCATTATGCATAAATTTTGTCTATTTGTTCATTAATTGGATGTGTGTTGTTAGTCACTGATGATGTGACAGTATACGTAACATTAATATAAAATGTCTACGAAACATTGATATGTTGACATGTAATGAGAGAAAATTCAAAATGTTTTGAAATGTTGAAAGTGGAATTTGAACCCTCCAGTTCTTCTTCACTAGCTACCACAGTACCATGCCCAAAGTCACAAGTAATTTGACTGATTTGATTCATAAATAAAAGGTATTTTATACATACTATTATTGTAGTTGTTAATTACATTTTTTACCTCTCATTTCATAATCCTTGTACAATTTTAATTATATTTAATGTTTAGTTTTTGTTCTTAGTTTAAAAAACTAAAAAGTAAATAGTTGCTTAAAATAAATAACTTATAAAAAACAATTCTAAATATTACATCCTTATAAAATTTTGAAATTACAATGGTTGTCTCACTTAAACATAAATCACTATAACAACTTTATAAGATTAATATAATATAATAAATAATTGTGTAAAATTCAAATTTAAATACTTAATAAATAAACTTATCATCTTCACTTTTAACAATAATAATACTTAAAAAAAACTAAGAGTGTAATTAACAAATATAATAATGATATATATATAAGTTATTTTTATCTATAAATCAAATATATCATGTCAATATTTCATGTTAATGTTTTATGTACTATTACATTATCATTGAGTCTTACATCAATTGTTGGTATTGTCATGTCATTTATTAACCGATGAAAATATTCACTTAAAATATGAAAAAAAAATCATAATTTTTTTAAAAATTATGTATTATTATATATTTATTATATGTACCCTAATAACGTGTGTGCCTCCCATATGTTTATTATATATTATATGTATTATATAATATAGTACACAAATGCTTTATATGTCTAACTACTTAACACTTAACAATAATATTAAAATAAAAAAAAAACTATATACGTTTCTCTAGTCATTTATGCAGTTGTCCTATTTACCAGTTAATATAATATTGAACTCCTTGCTTTCCTTCTCATGATTCTGTTTGGCTAGGTAAAATGGTCTGTGATATGGAAATGTCACTTAATGGATGCTATTGTGATTATAATTATTTTAAAATATATCTTTTGTTTACAAATGAAAAATTATATAAGTACTTTTCATGTTATTTTATATTTATTAGCTAACAACTAATTGATTTTAACAATGAATATTAATTATGTTATTCAGTTCGCATAGTATTCACACGAAAAGAGAATAAATTATCTTTCACTTAAAATTATTTTTTCCAACTTTTCAAGTAACTTATCAATCTTTTTTCTTACCAAATATAAAAGTGTTAGGTTAGAAATTCAACAACACTTCTTCAATAACCGAGAGTGCTGATCAATTTTGATGTTTCATTCTGAGGAACATATACCTTTGTATTTGTCCATAGTTTTTGAAAGAAAAAAAAAATCCCAAAAGACACAATACTCGGTTGTTTGGCATTGTACATCTTTAAAAGTTACTTAATTATACCTTTTGTATTTTTTATTATCGTTGTCAGTGAACAATTTTTAATAAACGAAAAAAAAGTAGGCTTCTTCTTAATCATCCAAATACGTAGTGACATAATTTAATGACATTGCTAATGATTCATATTCATGACATAACATTGTTATGAGTAAAGCATCTCAATAAATTTATTGTTAACTCCTTCAATATAAATATTTTAAACATAAAGTGTATGAACACCAATTTTGTGCAATTTTTATTTTATTTTATGTTAATATTTTTTCTCCTTTCTTATACTATGGTAGATGATGGGTCCAACAACTGGTTTTCTATTTATTTTGGCAGATGATAAATACACCTCCACTCTCCTATAAACACACCTCCTTTTTATAAAAAAAATATATAAAATATCTAAATTACCCTTTAAAAAAAATGAAATTCCTAAATTTACACCCCCCATTTCCCGCACCCGTTCCCGCATCTCACACCCCCCTTCCCTGCAACCCCACATCCCACACGCCCTTCTTCCTAAAGCCTCTTTTTCTCTCTCGCTCTCTCTTTCATTAATTTCACTTTTCTTAGTTCCTTCACTTTCACTTGTTTCTTCGATTATATAATCAAAGTCTAAACTCTTGTATTTTTTTTATCCAGATATCGTTTTCAGTCCTTCTCCAACATGCTTCTACTTCCATCCCTCACTAACACTATACTTCGACGACGACGGTGACGGCAAGATTTCGGCGTCTGAGCAAAGGAAGCGTTTGGGTGGCGAGGTTCTGTTGAAGGAAGCGGAGATGGCGATTGAGGCCTTGGATTCCGACGGTGACGGGTTGCTGTGTTTGGAGGATTTGGTGAAGCTCATGGAGGAAGTGGGAGAGGAAGACAAGTTGAAGGACTTAAGGGAAGCCTTTGATTTGTACGACACTGAACGTTCTGGCTTCATCACGCCCAAGGCCTTGAAGAGGATGCTCCACAAATTAGGGGAGTCCAAGTCCACCAAAGAGTGCAAAGCCATGATTAGTGCCTTTGATTTGAACGGGGATGGCATGCTTAGCTTTCAAGAATTCACAATTATGATGAACTGAAATCTGATGCTACTTGTACATTCATTCTGCCACTATGCACTTCTAGTTTAGTTCGTGCGTCTATAGTTTGGTTTGGTGGATTAATTGATTTGTTTGTACATTGTGTTCTGCCTAATTCTTTTCTTAATTCATGGGTTTCTAAATCGCTTTCGTGTTCATGGAATGTGCCAATATAATTAACTTGTTAAAACTTAAGACTAGAACCGTGTGCCTCGAAGTGAAAGGCATCAATTTTGTAAGGTCTTCCTTAACATTCTGATGCTTTATTCTTTACTTTTAATTTTTATCGGGGAAAAGAAAGAACCACACCAATTACTCATCCCCTTCTGTTTACAGATTATGTTTTCGAATAAAATCCTTTAAAAAGAAAAGTAGGGATGAACTGCTGTTAGGGGGGAAAAAGCTTAACCCCATGTTAATGGTCTGTGTTAATGTTATACTCTACTCTCTCTCCGTTCACGAAGCATACAAAAAGGAAAAAAAAGTATTTTTAATTAATATTTTTCTCCTTTTTTAACCCCCGAGCCGCCCAGAATAGCCACCCAAATTGCAATCTTTGTTTCTCTCTCTTCCCAGGCCTCTCTCTCTATCTCTCACACCAAAAATATCTATGAAAAATACATTTGCAATCCCAAACCATAGAGCATCGAGCGAGCGAATCCCATAAAAACAAGCACAGTAGCATCATCATCATCAACAAAGGGATGAACCTTTCCTTGGTGTTCTTGTTCTTGTTCTTCTCACTATTCCATCTCTCTCACTTTTCCCTTAAACACCCCCGAGCAATAAGTTAGAAGATAGAACCCTAGAGTGAGACGACAGCATAGTAAATCTATCAGGAACAGGTAAGAAACGGTAACAGTAGAAGCGTAGCAGTAGCAGTAGGAAGAAGGGGTGTGGGGGGGGGTGGGGGTGGGTGCGGGGTAGGCAGGTGTAGGGAGTTGTAAATTTAAGAATTTTTTTTAAAGGGTAATTTAGACATTTTATATATATTTTTAAAAAAAGGAGGTGTATTTATATGAGAGTGGAGGTGTGTTTATCATCTGCCATTTATTTTCTCTATTTTTCTTATGTCTTGTTTAGTTGGGTTCATAGAAGTCCAGGTGGCCATTTTCTTTTCTTTTGGTCCAATGGGCTGATTGGGCCGACATGACTTACTTTAACTGTGTTGGGCTATTGGCCAACCTGTATGGCTATTTAATAGCCCTACTTAAAAACTAACTGCATTTTTTTTATCTGTTAGAAATATTTTTAAAAAATATTTAATAAATTTTTTTAATTAGTTAAATTTATTAAAAATATATAAAAATTTAATGAGTCTTACACTATATTTTATTAATTTTACCTTTTAATGTTATAATTTTTAATAAATTTTATTGATTAAATTTATTCTTCTTTAATTTAATAATTTTTATTAGTTTGAACATTGAATATGTGTTATTACCAATTTGAGTGGTTAATTTAATTACCCGGTAAAATTAAAACCTTTCGTTTCGTCTTCTCGCAACCTGTTCGAATACTCAGACACTCTGCTTCTCACACTCTTCACTTGACTCCCATTCGCAAACCCTAACGCCCAAAGCAGAAGGTTGAAGTTTCACAATCGATTGATTCGAAGGTGAAATTGGGGAAGAAGATAACATGGCGTACGGTGGTGCGGGTCCCGTGGGTGGTTCGGGTTCGGCATCGACAATTAAGCAAGTGAAATTGGAGAGAGAAAGCGAACTGAGAATAGAAGTCGGTAACGATGCACCTCTTCGCCTTCGACTCCTGAACGGCACTGCTGAGATTTTCGGCACCGAGCTTCCCCCTGAAATCTGGCTCAATTTCCCTCCCAGGCTCAAGTTTGCTGTAACTAGCTTCTTCTGTAACTGCATCTATGTTAAATTCACAGTTTAGTGTTTTTTCTCTGATGAGGGAAATGATAATTGTTTGTTTCAGGTGTTTACTTGGTATGGTGCAACCATTGAAATGGATGGCACTACTGAAACGGATTATACTGCAGATGAGGTAAGCCAATGTAGTAGCCCTATTGCGTTTGCGTGCATTCTTTCTATGAAATTCACTTGATGACTAGATTAGAGTAACTTTCTGAGTGCAGACTCCAATGGTTAGTTATGTAAATGTGCATGCGGTGCTTGATGGAAGAAGAAGTCGTGCTAAAGCTTCACCACCAGATGATTCTGAATCTTCTCAGGTATTTTATTTTTCGTTCCTTTTGATTAGTTGACTGGATAGTTGACATCAAGGTTTTAAATTGTGGTTGTGGTTTTGTTGCATTGCTTGATATTTCGGGAAATTGTGATCAAATGCGGCCACAATTGTGGTGGTGGAAACTCTGAAAACCTTGATAATCACCGTTGTGACTGGTTTTTTTTTCTCAAAACCTTGGCTGACTGTTTTTTTTCAAAACCTTGGTTGACGTATAAGTTGATGTTAACTGTGCTTGTTGTTGTTCCTTTTGTATGTCTTATAGTTTTTACGGTTAACGTGAACTGTGGAAATTGATGCTTTGTTTTACGTAAATTGTGCTGAAAGACTTGGAAGCTTGTGTTTTCTTCATTGATTGGTATATTGTTGTTTTCTTTCAAGTCTAAACTGTAAATCTTGTGGTACGTGAATTTTGTGCATTTGGTTGGTCAGGGCCCTAGGGTCATTGTTGTGGGACCTACTGATTCTGGAAAGAGTACCTTGTCGAGGATGCTTCTTAGTTGGGCAGCTAAACAAGGTTGGAAGCCTACCTTTGTTGACTTGGATATTGGCCAAGGGTCTATAACAATTCCTGGATGCATTGCCGCCACTCCAATTGAAATGCCAATCGATCCTGTGGAAGGCATTCCTCTTGAAATGCCTCTTGTTTACTTTTATGGGCACGCGACTCCAAGGTAATTAGTGATGTAATTTCAATTATAAATTGGCAAAATTATATACACTTCCATTGGTTTGAACTTTGAAGTTTTAAAATCATTGGCAGCCCGTGAAAGAAATGAAAATCCCATCACCATTCACCAAACATATTTGTTTTTACAGTAACAATGTAGAATTGTATAAAGTGCTTGTCAAAGAGCTTGCGGGGATGATTGAGAGACAATTTACTGGAAATGCTGAATCTCGAGCTTCAGGCATGGTGATAAATACTATGGGATGGATAGAGGGAGTAGGCTATGATGTAATTGGCTTTTAAACTTTACCCTATTGTTAAATTGATCGCTATTCAGACATGTAACTCACATCTAATTCTGAGTTTCTGATTAATATTGATTATAGGACTCTCTCCTCTCACTCATTTTTTTTTTGTGCGTGTGGTGTGTTTTCTTATGCAGTTGCTCTTGCATGCAATTCGTACATTCAAGGCCAATGTTGTCTTGGTTTTGGGTCAGGTACATGCTTTGTACATATGGTATATTTAACACGTACATCATTGCATCTTCTAGATTAGTAGCCAGTTTCAATTATACCCACCAACATTTTTTTATGTCACACTTTCCTCATACATAATAGACTAGTTAATTCATGCCTTCTTTTCTTACATTTTTTGAAATAAAAGATTATTCTTCTTTGGGAGGGATTGGGAGATGGATTTAATATCATTTGTAAAAAGCTCAGTGTCTCAGGTCTTCCTTTGAATTCCTTGTAGGAAAAACTGTGCAGCATGCTCAAAGATGTGCTGAAGAGTGAACCCAAAGTAGACGTCGTGAAACTTCAGAGGTCTGGTGGAGTTGTATCTAGGAATGCTAAAGTCCGTCAGAAGGCCAGGAGTTATAGGATAAGGGTAAATCTACTTGTCAACTTTTGGATATCTTGTACATTTGTTAACCATGTATTGATATTTTCCTTCTGTTTTTTCATTTTAGAGGATTTCAATTTAAACTATGAGAATCTGTTGTCTGTGGGTGCTTGTCCTGCTGATTTATTTGTTAATATAGGAGTATATAATTACTCTTGGGCCCCAATTCATCTTCCATTGCAAATTATAGCCAAATAGTTAATGGTAGAGGAATTTTTTATTATTTAAGTGCTGATTAATGGATAGGATAAAAAATGATTCATTGTTTAGTAACGAAAGCTGATTTTCTAATGACTCTAAGTAATGGATGGTCTATTCTAAAAGATTTGAAAAATATAAATGAAGAAACAATTGTGAATGAAGGAATGTTTCAACTGTCAACATAAATAGTCAAACGATTGACACTTATTTTCTTTTTATCCTGAAATTTGTGGGCTCCTCAATATTTATGTGCCCTTAATTTTCTGTTTAAAGTGAATTTTTCTGCAATCTAAAAACTACATTGACAGTAGATCACTTTTACTATCTGGGCAATTTGTTTATTGGCCTTGGGTTCAGTCTAGTTTGCTGTGGGTTTTCTTTTCTCACCTTCCCCTGTTCACTCACAAAATTACCTGTTCAACTGTTTTTGGTCTAATGGAAATTGCTGCCATTGATTTTGACACAGGAATACTTCTATGGCCTCTCAAATGATCTTTCTCCACATTCTAATATTGCAAATTTTAGTGATTTGTTTGTTTATCGAGTTGGTGGTGGGCCACAAGCCCCGCGCTCAGCCTTGCCAATTGGAGCAGAACCTGCTGCAGATCCAACAAGAGTCGTACCTGTAAATATAAATCGTGATTTGCTCCATTTAGTCCTTGCTGTCTCATTTGCCAAGGAACCTGATGAGATCATTTCCAGGTAACTATAATTTTTTTTATGACTAAGTTTTATAACACAAATCTTAAAGAATATTTGTTTTAATTTTTTATTGAGCCCAGTGAGTTTGATCCATGTTTTTTGGTTGTTGTAAAGTATTTGTGCTTTTGTGTGTTTATCTCTCTGTGTGCTTGCATGTGTGAGAGAGAAAGAGTGGTGGGCCTCGTAAAACTGTACAAGTAAAATGACACTAGAGAGATCTGTTTATAAAATTTATAATCCGAATAGGAAGGAGTATAGGCAAAATGGAAAGTGGTGACTTCATATGCTGTTAGTTTTAAATCTACCTGAAATTAAATCCAGTTTGCTTTGACCGGCTTTTGTGGAAAATTGTTTCCGGGATTATTCTTAAAATTTGTTTTTTCCCCCCCTCATTCTTAACAAAAAGCTTCTATGCATAAAATTGGGCTGAGTTATTCTATCATGTTAAGCTTTAAAATTTGACTTGTAATATTTAATAATCCTCAAAGACGAATAACTGCTAATTTTTATGAATTCCTAAATTTTTGTATGTATGACCTCCATTGTCTAACTTCTTTTTGTGGGCTTCATTGATGGTCATTATCCAAGTTTTATAATAGGAAATTGCTTTTTAAGACTGGGAATATTATGCACCCCTCTTTCATTCCTAGTTTCCTACAAGTATGCCTCTTACCATGTCATGATTTTCTGGTGCAGCAATGTTGCTGGGTTTATTTATGTAACAGACATTGACATTCAGAGGTTTGTATTGTTAGATTTCTTGATTCATTTTATTATACTGTTTACTGTGAATGTTTGCATTTCTAACTTGATTTGTAAATTACAGAAAGAAGGTAACATACCTTGCTCCGTCTGCTGGAGAACTTCCAAGCAAGTATTTGATAATGGGATCCTTAACATGGCTTGAAACATGAGCTAATGAACAGTTTTGCACTGGAAAGTCTCGTTATATTTGTTTTTCTGGCTTGCCAGTCTTCTGTCATGATCAAATGTAAATACTATAATTTACAATTACAATTTACAGCCGTTATGATGGGTTGTTTCTCCTAGTGGGAGTCTGACCATGCCCCATGAGTAGCAAGTTCCTTATGACTCTTCGAATTGAATTGCATTTGCATGTATATCTCCCCCGTGCTATTCATAGGTATCAAATCTTAACAGCAGAACTGGGAAACATACTGCATACATCTCTAACTCGAGGGAGAATTGGAGAAACACCTGTTTACATTGGAATGGATCAAGAATATGACAAGATCATTTAAATCTTGTGTCTGGTTGTTAACAATGTGAAGATTCATTAATGCATAGATTAGTTTTTGGGACAAATTGTCTTTTAGAAAGGTAGCTGTGAGCCTGTGACCGAGTTATTCAATGGTGCAATGTGATCTTTCTATTATTAAAAGATCTATATTGGTCTCAATTTTTTTAAAATGATGCAATGTGATTTTTCTATTTAACTGAGACTAATGATGTTTGTATAAGCAATTATTTGTGCCAATTTCTTATTGGGTCGTATGTACAAGACGTAAACACTACCAAAGTCTTAATTAAACATAAGGGGCCATATTACATTGCTCCGTAGTCTTAATTATATATTAAAGGCAATATTGCGTTATTTTAGAAAATTAAGTACTAAATTGGATCTTTTAATAAATAAATGGATTAAATTGAATAAATTCCATAAAATAAGATATCAAAAGATTAATTTATAACATTATTTTTATCATGTCTTAATTATTTGATAAATTATATATAGATTTATCGAATTATGTATAATATTTTACATTTGAACTTTGTTACGGTTAATGCGGTTTTGATGGATAAAAAATATAATGAGATATATTTTATATTTAATGATGTTTTTATTGATTTATAATGATAAAAGAATTGAACTTATCTAAAACAAAGGTTGTATTTTAGAAGACCAAGCATAATTTACTCTTAAACTTACTTTTATTTTAACTACATTTTTTTTTATCGATTTTCATTTACTTATTTTATTTATTTATATTTTTTATTCACTATTTTTTTTATCTTATCAAATGTTCTTTGTTTTGTATTCACTGTATCTTTTTTTTATTTTTATTTTTATCCTATCAAACATGTCTTACAATAGATACTATTTTCATCTCAGTTAAATTTTGTATAAGTAATTTTTTGTTGTTGAGTAACAACTCGATAGATGATATTCATAAGATTTCTTTCTAATTGATAAGAAAGAAATAGAAGTATCAAAATTAATTTGCTCTGATAGGCCAGACTTGAGAATATATTTCCTAAAAAGAACTAGATCAAATTGGTTTGGCTTGGTGGGCCAAACAATCTAGGCCAATCCAATGGTTTGGAGTTCCAAAATTTATTGAATTTATTTGTTTTGATATTTCATTGTTTTTCTTTGTAAAATTTAATAAAAATTAAAGAAAAATAAAATGGTCAATTTGGCATTCATCAACAGTCAAGACATTAGTGCCTTGTTGAGAATTTGGATCAAATTGGTTTTCTTTACAGGTTATGATCTAATGAGAAATATAAGGAATAAAGATAGAAAAATAGAGAAATAAAATAAAAATAAGAGTATTTGATTGAAAAAATAATAAATAAATAAAATTTTAAAACCAAATTTTAAATTAAATATTAGCTATTTTTATGATTTAATCAATTAAATAAAAAATGATATTGATTATAAAAGATGCCAATCAATTATCAACAATTGTATATGCCTGATTAATTTCATTTTTGTGCATTTTAAAGAAATGTGTTCTCCCACTTTTATTATTTTCTCTCCCATTTTTTTGTAAATTAAAATAATTAACTTATTCTTTAAAATTTAAGACATATTATCATATTTGTCCTTGAGCTTATAAAAATATCAAATAAATCTCATTCAAAATATGTTATTTAAGTAATAATATGAGTTATTACGTTCATGGTAAAAGATTAAGATAATATGTAAAAAATCTTAAATTTAAACTTTGATATCGTCAATAGAATTTTTATAAATAAAAGATATTAATATATATTTAGAAATAAAAATAACAATAAATAGTTATACTATAAAATTTATTTAATATTTTAGAGATTTATTTGAATTTTTTCATTTTAAGAACTAATACAAGAACACTTTGTCATTTTTAAAGATGAAAATGCTCATTATTTAAAAAATATATATATACAACCAAACAACTCTTGTTTTTTTTTTCATCATTTTTTTCCTTCACTCATTTCTCCACCTTACCAAGCACACACAAATATCTTGTAGTTAAGTTTGGAATTTATTTTCAAAGTATGTATTAAGATCTTATTAAAGTACTATTTTTTTTGAAGGGCTTATTAAAGTACTATTAAAAACTTTTCAATCTACAGTTAAAATATATAAAAATTTAATGAAATTAAGCTAAATATAAAATATTTATTTGTTTAGTAGAGCAGCGTTTATCCAATCCACTTATCAATCTGAGATTCCATTTTCTCCTTTGTTCCCAATGGAAATGGATTCCCTTCCCAACGGCAACAACCCCACCGGAACCCCGATCGCCGCCACCGCCGCCGCAAACCCCGCGCCGCCTCCTTCGAACAACCTCCCCCAACTGACGGAGTCTCTCAAGCTGGAGCACCAGTTCCTTAGGGTCCCTTTCGAGCACTACAAGAAAACCCTCCGGGCCAACCACCGCGCCGTCGAGAAGGAGATGTCCGCCGTCATCTCCGGCGTCTCCGAAGCTGCCTCCGCCGACCTCTCCCCCGATGCCGCCGTCAACCACCTCAACTCCCTCGTCTCCCGCCTCCAAGGCCTCAAGCGAAAGGTAACTGCTAACCTAATTTCGTCCTTTCAATTTCGATTCACAATTTATTATCCTCGTTTCGCATAGTAATAATGCTGTTGGAAAGCGATTCGAGTTTCTATTTGTTCAATTTTTGATTTGTAGTGCCAAATGATACAGTGTAATGTGGTACTTAGTTACTATGTGTAGTTACGATTTATAGCATGCTTTGTGGTCAATTTTGTTTTGATTGTTAGTTTCTATTGTTATTAAGTATTAACTGATGTGTAATTGGAAATTTATATTCCCCTTTATAAGTTTTATGATGACGATGGTTTGTGTTTGTGAAAATGTGTTAAGTTGGAGGAAGGAAGTCGGGCAGAGCATTTGCAAGCACAGAAGTGTCGAGTGCGTCTAGATCACTTAGAATCTGCAGATGCAGAAAATATGTCGGAATGGAATAACACTCGCTTGAAGCGGATTCTTGTTGATTACATGTTGAGGATGTCATACTATGACACTGCAGTGAAACTTGCCGAAAGCACCAACTTGCAGGTAATGAATGGGGTGGTCTTATGTGGATGCTGCCAATGTACTGCTCCTTTTGGTTCTTCTCCATGTTGTAGTTTGAAGTGTGTATTTTGTTTTGTATTGGTTCTGTTAAAAATATCATTTGTGTTGGTGCATCAGGACCTTGTTGATATTGATGTATTCCAAGAAGCGAAAAAGGTTATCGATGCTTTGCAAAATAAGGATGTTGCACCTGCTCTAGCATGGTGTGCTGATAACAAATCAAGGCTGAAGAAGTCTAAGGTTCATACTGTTGTTTGATCTTGTTAATCTTTGGTGCACCATGCTCACAGCTTAGGCTTTTGGGTTTATTTGGTTCTAGAGTCTAGGTAATATGCATTTCTGTTAATGCGTATAAGATAGAAGTCATCCAAGGCATACTGCAACCATGGAATATATTCATATATGGGAGAATGATAACCGCTGGATTGGACACATAAAACATGTCTAAGTCTGCTTAAATTTTTGAAAATAAAATTATAAACTAACGCAATTCCATACTTTCTTGAATATCCACTAGTATCTCGTAGGATTACATTTGTTGATGATAACAAAAGCATAAATCACAATCGAGGCATCTAATCATATTTACTATTATTAATCTATAGTGGTTTAATGATGGCAGAGCAAATTGGAGTTCCAGTTGAGACTTCAAGAGTTCATAGAATTAGTAAGAGCTGAGAACAATTTGAGAGCTATCACATATGCTAGGAAATATCTTGCGCCATGGGGAGCCACCCACATGAAAGAATTGCAGCGAGTCATTGCAACACTAGCTTTCAAAAGGGATACTGAATGTGCTACATACAAGGTGAGCATGCCTTGTATTTGAGTGTTTTTTGTGCATTAGAGATACTGGTATGTCTTTAATTTTATTATCGTTCTAATGCAATAACGTTAGGAATGTATTAATATTCTTTGTTGTTAGAATTGAAGAATTTGATATTAGAATTTAGAATTACAATTTGATACCCTTCAGTAAGTTTAAGCTAGAGGTTCATCATAGTTTACTATGAATTGTGTTCATGTTGCATAAATCAATGCTCCTCTATATCATCAGTATAGTATGGATGATTCTGCGACTAGGTATCACTCCAGTGATCCCACATTTGTTTTGAATTTCCCCCCCTCCTGCTAATTTTCATCTTAGGCTTCAAAGGGACAGAAAGGCTTGAAGTGTTATATGAAAGGATAAAAGGAATTCGGGCATTGCATATTGCACCCTGTTCCTTACTCTGTTTTCATTTGTTGGGACAGGGACCAGTCATATGCAGACCAGTCATTGAACTCTCTGTTTGGTTCTTCTAGTTTTGGGAGCATTTTTGGTTCTTCCAGTTCTGGGTGTTCACAAAGTTTCTCTGAACTGGTTTATCTATATTGAAATTATGAGTTTTGGGCTTTACTTATGGCATATGACTCGTGATGGTTTTATGGTACTAATGGAGTTCACAATTTCGATTAAGTGATATGTGACATTTAAGAATGTATTTGAGACTTCTGCATCTTTTGGTTGCGGACTTTTGCACGTTTGTGGTTCTAAATACTATACATTGTGAATTTGTGATTCCCAATTCATGTTATCCACTAACACAATTGTATTCATGATTCATGATTCAAAAATTGAACAAATGATTTTTGATGTGGTTTGCGACTTGATAACTATGTACATGTCAACAACACACAGTAAAAGAAGTTAGAAGTGGAAGGTGGAGTTGTTTCAATTTCTTTTATTTTTATTTAAAACAATAACTTCATTGTAGAGGAGCTTGTAGTTCTTCTATACTTTTCTTTTAAAGAAAAGGAATGACAAGCAATATGCTAGTGACTCTTGTCTAATTGATGTAAACTGCAAATATTTATAGTTGTTAATAATTGTAGTTAACAAATCAAACTGAGTCTTAAAGCTGAAAGTTGTGTTATATTCTCTTGCTTCAATAATTGATTGAAATGGCTTTTACCATGCACTGTGCATCTCGTATGTATTTCATGGTCAAGAAAAGTACTTCCTCTATTAATTTGTAAAAAACAAGAACAAATATTTGCATGAATTTTTATTTTCCTCTGATCACTTATTGAAGAAAATCTTCATGCCTGTTATATTTCCAATGAAGTTTATCAACATGATATTGGTGAAACTATATTTGTTTTGATGCTTTCTTCTTTGCTAGAATTGATATTTCATCATTTTCTATTTTTAAGGAGCTACCATTTCAGCACTAAAATGTCTACAATATTCTTTTGCTTAATATTTTTCAGGTTTTGTTTGAAGCTAAGCAATGGGATTATCTAGTGGACCAATTCAAACAGGAGTTCTGCAAGTTATATGGCATGACTTTAGAACCCTTGCTCAACATCTATCTGCAAGCTGGCCTTTCTGCTCTCAAGACACCGTATCCATTAATAACTTTAACTGTAGATTTTCATCTGGTAACACTTTTCTTAGTGCTAGATGCCCCTATGCTGTGTGGATAGCAATGGTTGCATACATATAAGTGAAACACATCCTCCCCCTTCCCAAAAAAATCTTAAACCACTTTTCCTTATCCTTTTGAGGAACTTTTTATGAAATTTGAATTCATTAAAAGCATACATATAAATGGTTTGTCTATTAATTTGAATTCCTTTGATTTAAGTGATTCACTTTTTATGCAAGTATTTTAAAACCCTCCATATTTAACAGAATAACAGTTCAAAAGCTTTCATTGTATGAAATTTCATATTTGTCATTGATAAATGATAATCTCCAGTCGTACTTATTTTGGAGTACAGTATAGCTGTCATTTTCCCCTGGCGCCTGAGGTACACTTGAATTGACTTTTATATGCTAATTATCTAGGTTTTACAGATCTGTTGTTACCATTCCCATAATTCATTCAAAGTATGGTTCCTGCCACTGTGCTTCTCGTGTTTAACACCTGTTAATTCGTTATAGATGATTTCAATTTTCAAGGCTCATACAGATAACACTGAAGTCTCTTTTTACTTGTAGTTTTGATTGGCTCTTATTCCAACTTTGTGTTGGTGTATGCATTGTCACTACTAACACTATTGTGATATGTCCCTTGACTTGATAAAGATATTGTTACGAGGATGATTGCACAAAAGAGGACCCTCTGTCACAGGAGGCTTTCCGCACACTAGCCTTACCATTACCATATTCAAAGCAGCATCACTCAAAGCTTGTATGCTATATAACTAAGGAGTTGATGGACACTGAGAACCCACCGCAAGTCTTGCCCAATGGATATGTTTATAGCACTAAGGTTCCTGTTATTCTAGATATTCTTCTAGATTTTCCATGTTTAGGCATATTTTTTTAGGCTAATTTTGTTTATTATATTTTGCTCTTCCGCAGGCTCTTGAAGAAATGGCAAAGAAGAATAATGGTAGAATCATCTGTCCGAGGACGGGTTTAGTTTGCAGCTACACAGATCTGGTCAAAGCATACATTTCATAAACATACATACTTAAAAAAGCTTGATTGATGATTAAAAATGTCAATCTTACCTTTACTTCAAGCTACCATGGCTGTCAAATTGTAATGTTTTGGGAAATTATTCTCATGGCTTCCCATTATTACGTCCATTCTTTTACCTGTGTTCCGGTGTTGACTTAAACTTGTACATATGTAAGATGTTTCAAAGTGTCACTGGGAAATGACGTAAACATGTGCATACATTGATTTGTATTTTTCTTTGTAGTGAACTTCTCCGTCGTGCAGCCATGGTTTGAACTTGGGGGTTTAGTCATTGGAAATGAAAATGACGAGTATGTTGACGTTGATATGAAAATTTGAGTCATGTTGAAAAGGGTTAGAATAGAAAATTAACAAACACCGAGCTATTGAAATATACTACAAGAAAAAACAAAAACAAAAAGGATGCATGAATTGAAATTGACATTTTATTTGTATTCTCTCTGTCTGACTTAGCATTTAATTTCAACTATTTTTTTAATCATTTATTTTTTTTATTTTTAAACAAAATACACGGGAGACCATTGCCTTTTATACACTAGTGATTCAGAATATCAATATTACCTTTCTTTTCTCAAATTTATATATAATTTTCTCGCCTCAAATTTATATATAGGTACCAATTTTTATTATGTAATCGTTAATTATATAATTACAAACAACTCATTCTCATTTATACAAACAAATTTTAACCCTATAATTTGGTATGCAACAATTGCTTATGTTTAAGCTATTCTTGATGTTAACAAGTTTTTTTAATAATGTTTTTTTCATTAACAAAACTTTTATTTTGTACCGGTGAGATTGAGATATTTCGCATTGTTATATTTTATTTAAAAAATTAAAAATAAAATAAAAGTTGAGATTAATTTAATAAGTAACTAATATTTATTGATCCCGTTAATATTATGATTGATTTTCAAGTTTAAAAATATTAAGTTTGAGTTTTGGATTAGATAAAAATATTGTTTTTTTAATAACAAAATAATATAATAATCTACCAAATATGGAGATTAATATGATTATTAAAAGAGGTATTTTTTTTATATATTAATATAGATCATGACAAATAATAAAAAACATAATTTTTGTTTTTCTTAAGACAACATACGTCTACTAAAATGTGTTAAAATTAATTAAATAAACTAATAACTCAAACGAGTAGTTAAGCATAAAGTATCAAATGCAAACTGATTTAATTATAGACTTAAAAGCATGAGATATATTTTACATTCGTTTATCATTTATTTTGTATGTCAGCTCCTTATTTACACAAGAGATAGAGAACGTCTTTTTTTGTTAAAAATATATTAGTAACAAAAAATCTCGTGTTTGTCTCGCTTTTTTACGAAAATCTTTCAAACAAGTGATACTCACATTATTAAAAAAGAAATTACTTTATAAGATATCTGTAGCTAGAAAAAAAAAACATATATATTTAACTCTTTTAATAATATATTTTATTGTTCTGATAAAACAATATAGAAGTGTAGTTTTTTCCCCCAAATTCAATTATTTATCAATTAGATGTGCCTTTGATTAGTTAAGTTAAGCAAATATTATGTTTTATGTAAGAAAATCGTATAAAACCTAATTTTTGTATTGGCACATAAATTAAGAAATAAACGATAATTGCATTTGCATATAGTATTTATTATAATCATATTGGATACATTTTGTAAAGTAGATTTAAAAGCATTCAACAATAATAATCCCAAACTTCTCTTCTATCCCAATTCTTATTATCCCAACTATGATATACACCATCTTCTCTTATAGAGTAAAAGATGCGCTCATGGCCACCTTCTCGGCTTGGATCATACACGGAGAAATCAGTACACTTCACCCATTTTACTAGACCACTGTGAATATTGAAATCAAGCAATCTAATGTAAGCTTCTCCTCGTGGGATTTCAATCTGACTTCTTTGGAAGTCACCCAAAAAGTATAATTTTGTTGAACTTGGGGGCAAGTCATTCGCAATAGAAATCGCAAGTACGTGGATATCAATTTCAAATTTTGAGTCACCTTTATTAGGGTTTGAATGAAGGATGGGTGAAAGAGAATCAACAAACATTGAACTCTTGAAACACACAGCAACTAAAACAAAAAGCCATACAAGAATTGAAGTTAACATTTTGCTTCTATTTTCTCTTGCTCAACATTCTAATTTATATATAAACATATGTATGAGTAAGTTACACTTTTCTTTATCGAGAAATATAAATATTATATTATTCTTTTATAAATAAGATTGCATTAAAGCTTTGTAGGTTTTTTTTTATAACACATTTATTACAAGCAATTTATTTTCTATAACAACATTTTTATTACAATTGATTCATGCAACTACACATAACCCCTTCTTATTTTAATGTTCACATAGTCACCATTCCTTATACGGGTATATAGTGTGGTACTTTTAAGAAAAATTAAGGAATAATATCCACACAAAAAAATCAGAATAATGTTTTCCAAACAAGTGACAAGTTAATGTAAGATAGAAAAAGAAAGAGGTTGTGCCAAATTAGGGTTGAAAATAGATTACGAAGTCTGTGAGCGGCATGTAACTTGACTTTTTTAAGGCATGATCTATTTATTAAAGTTTTTAAAAATTGTTAGACTTATATTTTTTAGCAAGTCTTTTTTAATTAATAGGTCAAACTTCAAACCTTTAAAAACTCTGGTAGACCCGATAAGTTAACGTATTTAAAATATAAAATATTATTATATATTATTGTTGTGTGTATTTGTATTTATACGTAGTATTTGTATTTAATATATCTATAACAATATATAAAAGGAAATATTCTCTTTCCATGTCCATTTTTTTTGAAGATAATTATACTACTATATTTGTGTTCTAATTTTTTTTTTGTCCAAAATATATCTAAGGATAAAATAGGAAAATAATATATATATATATATATATATATATATATATAATAGTAATTACTTTTTAAAAAATAATAACTATCAAATTATTTTTTAAAAAATATTTATTTATTTTACACGGAGACACAAGTATCTTTTTCATTGTTAATAATAATTATTATCAATAATAATATATTTACAGTAATAATAATAATATATTTAATCCTTCGACCTATCAAACTATTTATAAATTTTATATAAAACAAACCTATTGAACTATTTATAAATTTTATATAAAACAAGTCTTATAAATAGACTTTCAAGCTACGCTACAGTAGTTTTGAACATCTTAAGCAAAGCCTATAACAATTTTTTAATATGTCAGACTCGGACTCTAAAAGCTTGTTGCCACCCTTATGTGCAATCTCACAATTTTTTTTATAAAGTATTAATATATTAGTATGTAATTTGTTCTATATATTATTACGAGCAATTTGAACTATAATTATATTAAAATTTATGTGTATGTTTAATTTTATTCCTGTAAAATTAAACTTTTATATATGTATTATGAATATTATTATTACATGTAATTGAGATTATTATCAACACAGAATTGATACATAATTTTGAAGATTGAAGTATTAAGTACAAGATTTTATTATCTAATTTACAAAATATTTGAGGAACTTGTTCCCTTACTCTTTTGCAAGAGAAATACTTAATCAAACAATATTTAAACAAGAAAGTAAACTTTTAATAATGAGCGGTTGGAGTAGAATATATAGAGTTTGAATCCTGATGCAAGTAAGCATGAACACATATGAATTTTGTACATGAAAAAACATTTGACTAAAAGAAAAAACTTGAGATAGTGAATCAAGGTTTCGACAAAAGTAAATTATTGTGATCATTATCTTCATAAATTTAAGTTGGTGATGCAATAGCAAGAAGCGATCATCAATAAGGAAACTAGTCAGACATATCATTTATTTATTGGTAATAAATACTGAAACTGGAAACATTGTTATTATTTGAGTTGTGAAAGTGAAACTATGAACAATTATTGGAATTCCAAGGTTTTCTTTTCTCCCAGCTTTTGTTATCCCAACTATGAAACACACCTTCTGGATTCACTAACCAATAGATCCTTTGGTGGTCTCCTTCTGAGCTAGGATCATATGCATAGAAAATAGCACACAATACGTCCCAATACATTAAAACGACTTTGCGATCAAAATTGGTAAATTTGACGAAAGATTTTCCAGGTTCCAAATAGGTCCGAGTTTCTTCGTTGTTGTAAAAGAAAAATAGTGATGGGTCGCTAGGAGACATACCACTCGTAATGGTAATGACGAGTATGTTGATGTCTGTGTGGTTTGAGTGGTGGATCATTGATGGAGTGAGACAATTTTCACAAGAATTTGCAAAACTCGACCACATTGTAAGAACAAGTAAGAGGGCAACCACATGGATTGATGTATTCATTGTTTTTGTGATCTTCCTTAAGCCTTTTTAACTCAGAAAAACCACTTCCTCCCACCTTATATATATGCTCCAATTTTATTTTCGGATAATCACAATATTGATATCTAAACTATGAAGAATTTGACTAAAAAACACAAATAATTATCATTTGTGTCTACTAGTATATATTGACATATATGCTCTATTTACTTATACTATTTGTAACTGAACAAAGAAACCTTTAATGAAAAATAAATACAGCATTTTGATTTTCCTCCTGGTTTCACTCTCCTAGGTTTGGCACAATGCCTGTAATTTATTACCCTGACGGAACACAATTGCTTCTCTTAAATGATAGGCCCAGTTTTACAGGCGGAAATAAAGGTAAAGGAGTGATGCAAAATCATACCTGTAGGTAAGTAGCAAGTATAAAACCTTATTTTATAGAATAAATTCACTTAAATATATTTTTAATTCTAATAAATTAAATAAGTTTTGATTTAATTTTTAATTTTTAACTTTTATTTCTAATATTTGAAATTTTTTATTTTTATTACAATATTTATTTTAATTATTTATATGTTCATTAGAAAGTAAAGTGATCATTTTTAGTGTACTTACAATTGTCTGCAATACTTTGTTAGTGTATGATATCTTTAAAAAAATTATAAATTCTTGAAATTAATGTTATTCGCATACTTAAAATGATCATCAAAGATAAAAAAAAAAGTGACTTCAAATTTTACTGAGATGAAAATAAAAAAATATATATTTTATAAAAACTAAAATCAATTTTTACTCATTTTATAAGGATAAGAAAATAATGTTCACAAATTTTAAAAGGATTAAAATAAAAGTTTTTTTTTTACGATGACTAAAATCAAAATTTACTCATTTTATAAAAGTTAAAAACATATTTAAACCTAACTAAGGGTTTTCCTGTCAAATCAATTTTTTTCCATAAAAG